TGCCCAGCTTTTCCCTCTCCTCCTCCCCAGTGCCCACGAGCACCAGAATTTGCTCCCGTGCTGCTAGACTGTGCCTGGGAGCAAGGAGCCTGCTCAGGGCAGGCCCTCCTTGGAGTTAATGACATCCCTGTTCCCACCGAAATACGTTTTCTACATAGATATTTTTGTTCAAAGACGAAACCTGGCGCTTGTGATGCTCAGCTAGTCACAAAACCACCTTTCAAAACTCAGACTGGCTGAAACAACATTGGAATGTTAGAAGCCTGCGACCGCCTTCAACCACTAACCTGCTAGAAATGAAGCAGAAGAATTTGCTGCTCCTGAATTTCCTTTAGATTTTTTAAAGGCAGTCAGCCCCATCTTGGCTCTGTGTAAGAAACCTGCCAGCCCTACCCCTCATACCTCATTTTTGAAAACAAGAGAGGAGGAAGTGCAGCTATGGTCCTGAGGCTGTCAGTATCCTCAGGCAAGAGGTCCACTGATTCTAGTTTCCACACTTCGGCTTTAATGAGCAGAAAACAAGCTTTCTGGTAAAGGATAAAAATAATCTTCCTCATGGCTATTGTCTAGAGGCCTCTGATTCAAAACTCCATCCAAATAGAGAACTTTTCGCTATCTACTTCAACTTTTATGATGGTGCTGTAGTGAACAGTAAGTCATCCTCAGACCTATGCATTCCTCTTTGGTATGAATTTCACCCAGAAACAGGTTGAACGCCAATTAACAAATCGGCAGGGAGTCCAAACTGATATGGACTAATGAAATTACCAAGAGGCATTTTGTTATGTTTCCTAGGATTTTGCTTTATCAGAGATGTTATTCATCAAACTGTGTGAACGTTACATGACATAGCTATTAGTAGCTTGTGCACACTACTGCTACAGTAAGATGACGTGGGACCTAGATGACGCTATGGCAAAATGAGTGACTTTAACTGATCTGTTAAGTGTTTTACTTGTAATTTTCAAACAAGTCAATGTGACTTCAGCACAGCTCTGCTACAGAGCCCAGAGGCATCCCATTGAAATCTCCCTCGGAAGATGCAGCTAGATGAGTTTTTCAGACGGTGAAAACAGCTCAAGAAGTTCCTGCCCTGCTTGCGCTGAGCCATCCTCCATGCCCTGCCCAAGCCCTGCCAGCATCACTGCCTGCACACCGCTGTTGTAAACTGGATCACTGAAATAAACGAGGTAAAACCACCTTCTTGGATGAGTTTTGATGCTGGAGGAAGTGTTTGCCCAAGAAGTAGTCGATCACCAGCTCCTGACTGTTCCAGGTAGCTGTAAATGTCCCAAAAGGTCTCCCCTGCCAGTCTGTTTGGGACTACTCTTTGGCGAACGTCAAGTCCCTCAGGACTCACCGGCTGAGAAGGACCACGGAGCAAAGCACGGAGCTGTGGGAACCCCAGGCTGAGAGAGGACCCATTAATTTCTAAATAAAAGGTATTCTAGAGACTGGCAAGGGAATAGTGACATCTTTATTTATTGATAAACAAGCTGAAAAACCAAGAGGATGATTATCTGAGTGGGTAGAGGGCATGTCCAGTGCTCTTGGGAAGCAGGCAGAGGTAGAGGAACAGAGGCCCCAGCCAGCTTACGAGGGGAAAATTATGGCTGAGTGAATAAAGCAAGAAAAAAGCATACTGATTTTCTCCTTCCTTTCTTATAAGAGAAAAAAAAACACAACCAAACACAAAACAACCCCAAATTTGTTTATATGCCTTAATTACAGCCCTCAGAAAGTCTGGGCATGGCCAGCCTCAGGGGCACAGGGCCAGTGCGGTGGGACTGGGCAAGGCTCTCTCCAGGGATTGTGTGCAGGCTTACGTGCAGCAAACGTGCACAGCCCCTAAATCCACCATGGTGATGTCTCCTGCATGGGTTTTTTCACCTCCTCTATGAAGAAACTGTAGTTGATTTCCTTCCAAAGTAAACTCCCCCTCTATACCTAAAGTATGTATAAATTAAATACCTATGTATTTGGCTTCTTTCTTTTCTTCCCAAAAACTGACTCCAACGTTTCTCTTATTTTTCATGGAAAACACAGGACTGGCTATTCCCAGGTACACCAATAACCCATTCCAACTGCTTCTGCCTGCCTGCAAAATGCACCTGGCTGCCCTTGTGAGACGGATTTAGCACGAGCAAGCGCCAGGCTGCTCTGCTGAAAGCATTCCCCAACCTTCAAGCCTGTAAAGATTCACTACAGGGATGATGAATGCTGCAGAGAGAAGATTTTAATTCAGGGGTCCCTATTGCTACAGTGAGGCGGAGAAGTAACCCAGAAAGCAATGCAGAACGTTCGCATCCGATGCCGGGCGAGGTGCCCCTATCGAAACAGGAGATGCTCACAGGGAGGCAAACTCTCAAACAGCGCTGCTCAAGAGACGAGGAAGGGTGCACGAAGAACCAGCTCAGCAGAAATCATCTGCGCTTGCACCTGATCCTGGAGGCACCTCGCAGCAGCCGGTCCGCTTGTCGAGGGGCTTCCACAGATGACTGGACAGTAATCCGCTGAGGAGAGCTGTCTCGTTAATAAATCTGTCCTCTGCAGTGAGACTCCGCTCGCGCAGATGTGTCAGTTCCTTTATTCAGAGGGAGCAGCCTGAAAAAGATCACGGTAGCTATGCTTTCCGTGACCGGCATGGGCTGGGGTGAGGAGGCGGTGGCGAGCACCGGTGAGGAGGAGGTGTGGCGTGCCTCCTCTGCGCTGCCGAGGCCGCAGGCATCTTCTACCTGTACACAGCCAACAAAGACACGAAAGCAGCAGGCTGCCTTATCTGCCTGTGTCAAGCAAAGCTGTCAATAACATCTATTTTTTAATGCAAAAAGGGTTTTTAAATCCAAACAGCTCAGGCATCTGGACGAAGAGAGAACTGGTCAGCAAGCGTAACCTGCAAGTTGTTGTGTCCCGGCTCACAAGTCAATCCCTTTTTCCCCCTTTCTTTCTTAAATTCTTCAGCACTGGAACTGAAGGAAAACCAGAATTCAGCTGTGGCCCTGGCCTTGCCAAGCTGCTCTCCTGCACAGGGTCAGCAGGACATGGCATCCTCTCTAGAAGACAGAAGAGAAGGCTCCAGGGCCTTCTAGCAGCCTACAGGAGGCTTACAGGAAAGCTGGAGAGGGACTTCTTACAAGGGCGTGTAGTGACAGGATAAGGGGAAACGGCTTTAAACTGAAAGAGGGGAGATTTTGATTACATATAAGGAAGAAATTTTTTACAGTGAGGGTGGTGAAACACTGGAACAGGTTGCCCAGAGAAGCTGCAGATGCCCCATCCCTGGAGGTGTTCAAGGCCAGGCTGGATGAGGCTTTGAGCAACCTGATCTAGTGGAAGGTGTCTCTGCCCATGGCAGGTGGGCTGGATCTAGATTATCTTTAAGGTCCCTTCCAACCCTAACCTTTCTATGATTCTATGATTCTACAGCCTGTCCCCGCAGCCTGTCCCCTGGCTGTGCCCTGCAATGATCTCACTTTCTGCGAGAAGATGTGAAAGAAAGAACCCGAGGAAAGCCTCCCATCAACAAAGAAAGGACCGTGCAAAACAGCTGCTCCACTGGAGCAAGGCACCTTTGCAGAAGGACTGAAAGGAGGACTCCTGTGTAGTCTTGTGCTCCCTCACAGATGGCAGATTGTAGCCTATTCCTCCTGTGGGCTCTCCACACACACAGGATGATGTTCAGGAGGTCCACCACTGCTGCTCACCTACTGCAAAGCTTCCCTGTGAAACAGAGAACGAAAACTCAAAGATGAAAGGGGCAAATTACACACCGTCAAGTCAAATGACACCAACTCCTTCTTTCCATCCTTGATCCAGAAAATAAGAAAGTTGGAAGTAAGCTGCAAACTGAATGAATGCCTCATTTAACCTCACCACTGGGATACTCTACATACTATTCTGAAGTTAACAGAACACTTTCAATAATTTATAGCTAACCTTTCATTCCTACTATATTTTGGAATCTACTCCCTTATACTAATAAATAACAAAGGAGAAAGGGCACTTTGTGTGGCACCTATCCTATGAGTCAGTGAAGATGTACGTGTGAGCAGGCAGACGTATGGGCAGGAGCCTGCAGAATCACAAAAGGATGACAGAAACAATGTTTACAAGTTCAAATGTCCTCAGCTGTGGAAAAGAAGCAATGGAAAAAAAGCAATAGAGCCAGAAAAAATTATTCGGAAGAGGCTAAAATTTGAAAAGCACCTATGTCAGAACCCAAACCTACGAATATTCTCTTGATGGAGTGGAAAAGAAAATTATGCCCACTCTAGTCCTGGGAGAGGACCAACAATTTTTGCATACTTAAAACATTAAACCCAGGACATCCCTGGGACCAGGATCCCACCTTTGCTATTTCAATGTATAATTCCTTCATTTGCTACTTTTTTTTTTTTTGGCCAAGAAATACAATTAAAAAAAACCCCAAACAACTTTGCTAGTGTTGCTGTATCACAGCAGCAACAAAACTCTAACGCAGTCCAGGTCTGTCCCACACCCCCAACCCTCAGTGTGTGCACTGATTTTGCAAAGACGCTTTTCCTCCTCCCCTGCTCCACTATTGCTCCCCTGACTGCAAAGCCCCTTGCCCCGTCCCTACGTAACACAGCTCGGCTACGTGCGGCACAGGCTGCAGAGAAGAACCCATCTGTTGTGACTTCAAAGAAGCCAAGATGGAGCTCTGTGATTCCTAAAACCCACAGATGTTCCACCTTGGTTTGCCTCATTTGTCATTAGCGTTTCTCATGCCTAAATTAAGAAGGACGCATAGCATCAGATGCGTGCTGACAGCGCTGCAGCCAAACAGCTTTTATAGCTTAGCCTTGCTTTTCCCTCCACACCTCCAAACGTTTCTCGGTTGCGCCTGTTGCGTACCAACACACAGCAAGCCATCGCAAGTCAAATTAATATTATTAGTGTGCACTAACTACTCAGTGTTTGGTGCAAACTCCAGTAAAACTAAGGAACCAAGAATTTTACCACATCTACGGGGCACTGACCTGTTTGCCCATTTTCCCTGTTCTCAAAGATCCTTCAGCCTGGTACCCAACTCTGTGACGAAGCCTGTTTAGCACCAGTGAAGTTCCCCACATTCAGACTGACAACGTTCTGAGCTGAGATGAGGGAATCAAAGTTAAAATCCAGCCCATCTGCATCCATGAGTTCACTGCGGATAATGGACTCCATGTCACACTCCAAGCTCCCATTGAAAATATCCAGGTCCAAGTCACTTGGGAATTTCTCGTGTCCCATGACCGGGAGGTTCACGCTAGAGGAGTACAAAGAGGAGCCTGAGAGCGGGTCAGAAAGTGTTTGCATAGACTGATTGACAGGTGACTGCTGATGTTTGGTGGATCCCAAGCTGTTCGAGTCACTCAAGCCTATGTTACTGATGGAATTGGACAAGGCACGGCTGCCACTAAGAGAGGAGCTGTGGGACTGGTGCTGGTGATGAGGCAGGCTCTGATTGACCAGACCGCCCTGGCTGGACTGCGCGGCGAACGACATCATGGGGTCGTTGCGGAGCATTATATTCCTGCGGGAATTCTGGGCGGACACAGCTGTGCTGGCTTGTGACATAAGTGGGTCAGACTGCGTCATCATGACATCACTGTGACTAAGTGCATCAGAAGCGAGGAGATCCTGCAGCGTCTGGTTGTTGTAATGAGAAATGGAAGAGAAGGTGGCCTGCTTGTTCTCCTGAATGGTCTGCATGGGCGACTGGCGGAGGGAATTCAGGGACGACGGCCCAAACACGGCGTTGTTGAAACTACTCGACGGGGAACCCAGTCCTGAACCTTTGGAACCATATGGAAAACTGGTGCTTCTCTGCATTATCCCTCCTGTGGGCGACTGCTGGGAAGGAGGGAGTGTTATATTGTCCAAGAGATCATCCATGAGGTTATCTGTCAGTCCATCATTCAAATTCATTGTCCCAGCCATATCAGTCAACCTAGGCAACTCCACAGTACACGGTTTGTTTACCGATGGGGACAAGCTCGATGGACTACTGTACAGCATGGGAGAAAGCGGAGCGTCGTCATCTTGAACATCATCTAGTTCAGTGCTTGCCAAAATTGGTGACAAGCGGCCACTGATCGTACTGGCGTTGGAATTCGTACGGGAGCGAAAATCTGTCCATGCGTCCAGCTCATCGCTGCTGCGGGAGGTGGGGCTCCCTGGCCACTTGGAGAGCTGAGAAGGGCTGTCCTCACTCGTCTCCTGGGCAGTCTGCAGGGCTGCCTTCTTCTTCGCCGCCCGCCCTCTGCTCTTTGTGTACTTGTTGCTGTTGTCCATTGACACGGCGCGTCTCCGGGGCGCCTTGCCACCTTTTCCACCATCTGGATTGATCATCCACCAAGAGCTTTTCCCAGTGCCTTCATTCTGCACCCTGACGAATCGGCTGTGGAGTGACAAGTTGTGCCGGATTGAATTCTGCAAGAAAGGAACAAAACAAAACGTCAAGATCAGCAAGCCTCTTCCTTTGCTACCCAAATCTCAATCACAAAACCAACATCACACGGAAACAGCAACATGAATAGAAGCACTGGGCCCTCCTGGACATCAACATGTGTTTCTTGGGTGATGGACATGAGAGGGCTGGAGTGTGATTGCAGCGTGGCTGCTGCAAAGCAAGCCCCGTGCTTGCACTAGCTGTGTGCTCCTGGTGCTCATCTTTACACTCCCAAAAGTTGCATCCTAAGGAAAGGAGTGTGACATGGCTCCATTTCTGCTAGCAAGGAGCTAGACATTTCTCCCTTACTTTTGACTCAGGACAAACCTCTATACTATCAGAAATCTTGTCATCAGTTCCTTGAGATAAAAACTGCAAAGACACTGCAAAAATCTGACTGGAGGGGCAGTCACGTTCATCGCAGCCTCTGCAAATGTCTTTTTAATTCTTCATGGGCATGTGCGTTGCGTATTTGTTGTAACAATTCTTGAGAAAACTGCAAGAGCTGTTGCTCCTCTCCCACAGGCACTCTGTGCATGACTAAGCTCTACTTTCTCTCTTGATTAAAGGCACCACAATTACGCCTGTACTGCAGCAGCTGGCCAGCTGTCCCCTCACTATAGCACCCTCACAGTCTTCAAAACATGATGTGACACAGTACACGACAATATCCCTGTCCCTGTAAGCTGCTAGATATGGAGTTGTAGGAAGTTGCTGTACATACAGCTGGACACCCCGTGCTGCACAGCACCCTACGAAATACAGAACTTTCAGGGGAGCCCATGTACAGTCTGCTCTTGCACATTACCCGCTTGCACTAGTCAGTAACATCTATGATCCAAAACCCATGTTGGCTCAAATCAATGATAATTACGACAGAATGAGAAAGAGGCCAAGAAAACCAGCCCACGGTACCCCTGGTGAAACGACTCCAGATTTACACCAAAATAACTGAGATGAAAATCCCACTCCACTCATCCTGCTGATCTCGGACTTAAAATATGGCTCAAACAAAGGACAAGCAAATAGCATTTGTTAGTGACAATGCTTTCAGGTTTGGGTTTGGTTTTTTTCCCCATGTGCAAGTCAAAAGATTTTTGGAGCCATCCCATGCTTTGATAAAAGAGTTGTCCCCTTCCTCCAGGTTAAAGATGATCAAGTTTAAAAAGTTGCACAAGTTCTTTTTTCTTAAATTTTGGCAATTACCAGGTATATCTACAAAGAGGATAAAATCACATTTGTTCTACCAGCATGCTTTAAAAACACAAAGTCAACAGGATCATAGCATAATCAAACCATCCAGGATAAATGTCCTTCATTTACAAAGCACTGAAGAAGCTCCAGATTTAAACAGGTAAAGAATGAATCAATCAACAAATCATTCACAAGCATCTCAACATTTGCATCCTTAGGATAAATGGATGTCTGACATAAGTGAACTGGAGACACATTTGATGTATAAAGAAATACAGTCTGTTTTTTTTTAAACAATTCTTTTCAGTATAAAATGCCTTTTTTTCTTCCCCTGTTAAGTGCTGTGGTCTTTGTCAGATTGTGAAATGGGAAACACGCCTGAAGTTCTTCTCACACGCAGACAGCAGACGCGGTTGTGATTATCACTTAATGAAAAGAGAAATCATATGGACCACGGTTCAAAACAGCAACTGTTACGTTTTAAACAATTTGCACAAAACAGCAGACTAGACTCTCTTGACATACTTGAGAGAAGTTTGGGTCAGTGCTTCAGCTATAAACTTGTCTATTTCTAAGGGACTATCATGCCATCAAAATGCAGTGGATTGAGTTGCAGCATAATAGTTCTTCAGTCTAAGGAAGGAAAGAGCTTTTTATTATTTAACTGATGACATTTTAACTATATTTTGAGTCTGGCAACTGTCTGTTTCTAACTTCTAATAACTAAGCGCCACTGCTTACTTCCTCAGGTTTCTCCCAACTGGCTGGAGAACTGCTGAGGTTTTTTTGAAAAATAACCATTGTTGATATTCCAGCTTGTACTGCATCAATGCAGGTAGTTCTCACACTCATCCCTTGACTTTCATGGACAACCACTTGTGAGAACATCTGCACGGGGATCTTGCCTCGCAAAGTGCCGGCGGCAGGACGAGGACAACCATAGCTAGATCACCACACCAAGACAGGCTACAAGAGCCAGACAAACCATGCTGTTCCCCACCTAAAAATGCTAGGTATGAGGATACACAGCACCATGACTCTTGCTAATGGAAAAAAAATCTTAGAAAGCACAGAAAAGAAACAGCTAAGGTGGCGTACGCAGCATGCCACTTAGCTTCAGATATAAAAAAACTCAGCCAAAGTGCCAGCAGCTAACAGTTCTCAACCTATGGTGTTTTCATAAAATGGCTTATTTCTGCTGGTGGTAGCCGTAGTATGAAACTATCTGGTCTAAACCTATGAAAAATCCTAAATGGTAAAATACTGAGACTGAGGCACCTTTCAGGATGAGGGCTCCTGCATGTGTGGCTATGTGTGTGCACATGCATAATTTTCTTCTTATTGTATCTTTTTCCTCAGTGTTGGTATTACACAAATAATAAAAGAATGTAATAATACTTCGGCATTAAAAATTGGTGGTTATAAAAAATCCAAGCAGTTTGTTTTCCTTTACATTATGCAATATGTCACTTACGATCCAGCTCCTGTTTTTCTTTACTTTTCTTCTGTAGGAAGATTGTTTCCTTAAGCATAATTATGGGCCAATCCACCCTCTGTTCAAATATCGCCTTGAAACCCACTTCTTTCACGTTACCTCCCCCGCTAACCTCTTCAGCAACAGTATCTGAGTTTCTTGGTTTCTCCTTGTGTTGGATGCTCTGCCAAATCAAATTAGGGCTGGATCCTATTATCCTTTCACATGCAAGTTTTCCTACAGAAGCCACCGGGATTGACAACTCACATCGGTTAAGGCTGTCGCGCTGTGCTACCAGGCTGCAATCGGGATGGAAATAACTGTGTTTTCTACCTGGTTTCTGAGCTGTCAAAGAATGTTCCCATCCACTTAAAATACAGGAAAACATTGTGGGACAATCTTTGCTCACAACCATGTGCATTAGTACTATATGACCATGCGACACACTGCAAAGGAGGTGGGGAAGCAAAGAAAATACAGGTTTTGTGAACAAATACGATTCAAATAGAGTTTGGATCTGCTGCTGATCAAATTAATGGGCATTTGTCTTTGACTTACTTGGGCAACGGATTATGCCATGATGATGGAAACATAACACATTCTTCCATGCCAAAATGCAAGGAGAAACTTTAAAAGATCTATAAAGGAACTTCCATCAATCTGTCCTGGAGACCATATGTGGAAGGGACAGATGCTAGCCAGGCTGCAGACACCTTGGAAAGAGCTCACGTACCACTGATGGGTACAACATACGGACTGTACAAGAGCAGAGTAGAAAAGAAATACGATGAGCTCCTCCCTTCATTAGTGTTACTATTTATACCGGACTTGAAGAACGTTGTGCGCTCTGCTAAAAGCCAGAAGACTGAGATTCCTGTAGATAAGATCAAGAGCATCCCGTATGGCACTGAGCCCAGCCCAGCCGGGTCCTGGTCCCTGGGGAAAGTAGTCCTGCAGGGAAGAACGAGCAGCCCCAGAGATGAGGAAGACCCAGAGCAGAAGAACACAGGAGGCAGAGCAGACGTGGCGCAAGCAGAGGGTGGTGCAGTGCCAAAGGCAAGCAGCCCTGATACCCTACCTTGGCTAGACTGACGGCATCAGGAGAAGGGGTGCAGCTGAGTGCCCACTAGTAGCCAGGGCAGCAACACGTGGGGTGACGGCACTTTCCCCAAACCCGGGGCCACGCTCTCAGCTTTTAGAAACATCAACCCGCCACACCGCGTTTTGCTCCTCGAGGGAGCCAGCCGCATTTTGCTTGCAAAAAAAACCAAAAAGAGATCAGCTAGCACATCCTAATTACATGTCTCTCTTGATATTTTGATAAGACTGCAAATGGGTAACCTCCCAGGGAGGACACTCAAATATTTCCGAAGTGCTGTATACCCGATTTGATACGAACAACTGAATGAGTCTCCCAGGGAGGCTGCGACTGCACGTTATTTCAACACTCAGCTCCGGTCAGGCAACAGCAGCAAATGCTTGAGCCTTTAAAACGGAGAAAATTCCCCTTCCCTGTGCCTGTTTCAGCCTCTTCCAACCCGTGTTTACCTTGTGGAGCCCGTCCATTAACTCAGACACCAGCTGCAAGTGCTTCCACTGCAGTACAGAGTCTTTTTTGTCTGGAAGCAACATGTGGTATCAATTTATCATCCTCAACAACGCAACAAGGAATCCACTCGCTTTAAAAATAAAGAGAGAGTTGTGTAACTTAACTCTAAAAAGTCCCTGCTTTAAAAAAAAAAAAAAAAAAAAAAAGAGCCTAAAGATTAGCAAGATGAGGTGCAGCTGGTGGCCGCCGAGTCCAAGTTACACACTGGTCTGTTTTTATTTCAGTGTTTTGTAGTGAGTGGCTAATTTGTTATTTCAGATACAGGCTCCTAAACTGTAAAGTTATGGCTACAAATCAAGAGCAGTTGTTTATTTTAACAATTGAGATACTAGGACATGACGAGAGAAAAACAAACGCTATCTGCAGACCCATAAATACTGCTAATGCTCACTTGGGAGACTTATACTTTATTTTATACTGTATTAACATATTTAATGTTCTAACTTCACCGTATGAAGTTGTCTGGTAGCCACACGGTAGGGAAAAAAGGATCTAATACCACTGAAAAGAAGCCATGGAAACAATGCCAGCTGACCAGCCTCCAGCGGAGTGGAGGGAGCCCCGCTTCTCCGTGGCCCCGCTAGCAAACTTGAATTTCAGTTTCCAGCCTGTGTCACCTTACTCAAACTGTTGTAGCACAAATCTCCTTTGGGATGAAAACCCCTACAGACAGCCTCCAACCAAAAATTAAACAAAAACCGAAA